GAGAGAGAGAGAGAGAGAGAGAGAGAGAGAGAGAGAGAGAGAGAGAGAGAGAGAGAGAGAGAGAGAGTGGCGGCGAGTTCGCTGCGGCCCTCCGTCCAGGTCGCCGCTCCTTTCTCTCTCTCTCTCTCTCTCTCTTTCCCGTTTCCCGCTTTTGCGGGAAGATGCATTCCCGTTGCTGAGCTCTCTCTCTCTGTCTCTCTCTCCCCCTCCCTCCCTCCCTCCCTCCCTCCCTCCCGCGTGACTTTGTTTTTTCCCTTTCGTTTTGTTTCTTTTTTACTTTTTTGTATATGAATCGTTTTCTTTCTTTTTTACGTACGTGTTTTTGAATTTTTTTTTTTTCTTTCTTTGTTCTTTGGTGTCATGCCGAGTGAACCGGGGCCCGGCCATTCAGCAACGACCGGACCTTCCCTTGGCCGACCCCCTAAGGCTGCGGCGCGTTAACGGGGAAGGCCCGCGGCCGATGTATGGCCCAAGTACTGGTGGTTTAAACCACCGGTTCACGCCGAGCACTAGCTATGAAGAATTTCGGGCCAGTGGCTATTTCAGCAGTCTCATGGGGACGAAGCTACCTTGCAAGGCTCTCAAGCCTGCAAATGCACCTTTCTGAAGTGGCCTGCCACTCCCACGACCCGGCCCAGGCCCAAATCGAAAAGCTCTTACCCCGTAAGCCAGTAAGAGGCCTACCCGGCTTCGGGTGAACTGGTGGTTTAAAGCACCAGTACATGCCAGCTATCGGCCACAGGCCCCTTTCGGAGGCTTCCTGCCGTTGATTCCGTTTATCTACGACGCTTGGCCTCCTAAATTTCCGGAGAGGCTCAAAACAGGTTCTCCAATTGCCGGGGGCCATGTACTGGTGGTTTAATCCCAACCACTACCTTTCCCAGGCGAAGTGGAGAACTGAAAAATGTAACATTCCACAAAGTTCGGGGTTCGGGGCAGGATCGGCCTGAGGAGGGGGGGGGGTCTATTTTTTGTGTTGTCCTGATCAGCCCTTGTCAGCCTCAGGGAATGGATGACGTCATATGTATGGACACCATGTTACTGGTAAAATCAGGGCGGGCGGAAATTGTCCGGCACTTATGGTCCCGTTTCCTGACTGTTGGAAGTGTCCGTTCCGTCTCGGCAGCGCCCCCGCTGCAACGCCCACCTGGTTCATCTGTCCGTTCCGTCACGCCCACCTGGTTCATCTGTCCGTTCCGTCCTGGTAGCAACCCTGTGGCAACGCCCACCTGGTCCATCCATTATGGATGGACGTCTCACTTGCTTCTTCCCATGTGAATGTGCAAACCACCATCCACATCTGCCATCACGTTGCACCGTTGCATGTTCTCCAAGCACATGCATCTGGTCTACAATACAGATGAGTGCTGATGAGGGGTCTGGGAATGGACTTGTGATTCTTGAGCTACAGATATGGCAGGTGCGTTTCTCTTGCGA